GAAATCCATCCTGAATTGTTGTTGCCACATTTGATCCAATTCCACGATAGACACTCTGTTCACAGTCACTGGCCTCACACAGTAGTCGGCCTCTCCACTGTTTCCTGTCAGTGGTCCGTTTACCGTCCAGCCCAATGCTGTTCTTATTGCATATGGTCCATTGCTCTCACTGCGAATTACTTCCAGAGGCTCCATGGCCTGTGGGACATTGGTCCCCATCAACAAATCAATCCCACTCTCAATCTGTGGTAATGAGAGGTGTCTCAAATATGGCCACGCTTTCAGATCCTGCTTCATTGGAATGTTTGTCCTGTCAACTGGCATGGACAACTGTGTATAGGCCTTTGGGAGAATGATGAACTGATCATCGTCAAGGGCTGCGACCTCCAGCTCCGGCACAACGTAACTCGTGATCACCTTCTCCTGCCCCATTGTCCTTAACAGTACATTCGCCTTTCTCCCCGTCAGGTGGAGCCTGTGCATCGAACTCTCAGTACAGAATACCGCAGTACTGCCCTGGTCCAGGAAGGCATACGTAAGGATGATTTTGCTGCCTTTCCTAGCCTTAACTTGTACCGGTACGATAGGGAGTTTGCAGTCCTGCTCACCAGCCCCTGTAAGCCCACTGGAAACCAGAGTTCTGTCCACCAGCACATGGGCACCTTGCTTGGCCTGTTCTGTGCTTGCTGCACTGTCTTTATGGAGCACTGTGGGGTGTCTACGATCACACTTTGAGCACGACATCCTCTTTTGGCAATTTCTGCTGATGTGCCCTGTGCACAGACAACTGAAGCATGCCCCTTTTTCCTTGAGGAAGTCGATTTTCTCCTTTTGCGTCATTTTCTCCAACCTCGCACATATGTCCAATGAATGTGCTCCATTGCAGCATGAACAGCTCTTCATTGCACCGTCTGGCTTTGTGTACTTGATTCTCAGTGAGGGCTGTGCATTACTTTTGACTGAATCGATGGTTGTAGCAAAACTGGTTCCTTTGTAACTGGATTGTTTGTAGGGCTTGGGTTTACTTATAATTTTGGTGAGTGGTGCAGTTGTGTCTTGAATGTTTCCAAAAACCGGGTCTGTTAGTATCTTAACTTGCCGCTCTACGAAGTAAGCAATGTCAATAAACCTTGCTCTTCGGCTGTATTTCTCCTGCAAGTCACAAGCATGACTTCTCCAGCGATCTCTGAGTTTGTAGGGCAGTTTTCGGATAATGTCCAGCATGTTTGCAGGTGTGTCCAGGTCGTTTAGATACTGCACATCTTCCATAGCGTTGCAGCATCCGCGCAGGAAGAGGCTGTACTCCTGGAGAGCCTTCACGTCCTCATTTTTAATAGATGACCATGACAATGCCCTGTCCATGTACCCTGCTGCCACCTTCTGTTCATTTCCATAATGCTCTTTCAATAATGCTTTACCTCTTATGAACCCTCTGTCAGAGTCGAGGTGATGACGGCTCCTAACCAGCTCCTTTGCATGACCTTTTGTATATTGTTCCAGAAAATAAAGTTTATCACTACTGTTGTTTGTGTTTCTTTGAACTCCATTTTCAAAAGCTCGTATGAAAGAATGATACTCAAGGGGGTTACCGTCAAACATGGGGATTTCTCTTTTTGGAAGTGCGGAGAGGCTTTGCTGTTGCATTAGAAGTGTACTGATTTCATTTTGTTTTCTCATTATGTCCAACACGCTGTCATTTTGTGAGCCATTATCATTGTTCTGTACATGTTCTTGTTGTGTCCTGTTTTCTTCATGTTCTGGAGAAGTTAAATAGCGCTGCAGAGTGAATGAAGGGTGATCTGCATTCTCAGGTAAGTTTACTTTTGGTTTTACAGTTGGTGGTGTGATGTTATGGATGCTGCGTTTGGATTTCACTGTTTGTAATGGGACAAATTCAGTGGCATTGACATTGAGGTTTTTAGAATGTTCCTTTTCACAATATGAATTCATTCCATCAGACACTTTAGACCTTGTTCTTGAACCAAGGCTGCTTTGTGCTTTAATTATGCTCAGTTTGGTCATTTCTTCAACCACTTCGCTTTCCAACAGAAATTGTTCCTTCCTTCTGCGCAGCTTTAACTCCTCTTCTTCTATTGCGTATTTTTCTTTCAATATTTTTTGTTTCGAGGCCAAAACTGCCAGATTTGTTTCACTCTTGAGTCGAGCAGAGGCACGTGAAGCAGAAGTGCAGTGTGAGCGTGACTTTTTGCTTGATGCGTTCGAGGCGCTGTCACCGGGGCGCACCGTGTCCTGTGCGTAATGTGCGTTTAGCATGTTTGGCACGTGCTCTGTGTCTGGCGCTAGAGCAGGTGCGCGAGGGTCAGTTGACTCTGCGAGCTCAGCGTTGTTTCCTGCTTCAAAGTGTTGCTCATTTTTGTTTGACTGGACAGAACTTTCGCATCCATTTTCCCGTTTCCATTTCTCAGCATTTTCTTTGAATGTTTCGCTGTATTCCACAATTGTTGTGAACCACTCATTATGTTTCTCACTCTCGTGCTCTGGTAGAAGAGGCAAAAGTTCACTGTGCTGCAGCTGCGTGGATTTTTCCAGCAATTCCTCCACAGTGTTCATTTGTGAAATAACTTTAGACATATTTTCTTTTGAGCTCATTTGCACTTTTATTTGTGGGATAAGCGCCTTTAATTTATTCACGGCGGCTTTGCGCTCACTTTGGAGCCGTTCAATCTTGTTTTCTAAAGCCTTTTCAGTGAGTTTTATTTCTCTTTTGCCACTTGACATTTCCATGTTTGAACCTGTAGCACTTGCACTTATTTGACTCATTTCCTTGTGTTTTTATTTCATGTGGACCAACAATAAAAAGCATCAAGTGCGCATCGAAATTTCATTCATGAACATTGCATTTAAAATTCATTGACAGTGCAGATATTCATTCCAAACAGTTCAACTTTTATTAGGCGTTTTGACAACACCAACGCCACGCATTTGCCACAGTCCCATCAACATCAAATAATTCACGAAGGAATTCCGTCACATTAAAAGAGCGATACCACCAGCGTTCATTCATAAACTCATTGCCACATTTATTACGCACGATGAAGCGTATCTTAGCGGATTCCTTTTATGCACAAACAAACAGGCTCGGGCCTACCTGCTTCCAGGTGAGTGGCGTGGTGTAGCTCTGAGTGACACTTAGCTGCAGCGTTTGACGTTTGACGTGATGACTTGGATTCTTTGCATTCTTGTGCGTTGTGGTGATTTTCATTAAGGGCCTTTTTTTGTTGACAAAATGTTGCGGCTTCCTGCAGACCTGAGCCGCTGAGCCGGTCAGAGTGGGTCCTGTAATGTGATGACGCGTATTGACGCCTATGCTAATAAATCCTTGATCCTGGTATTGCGTTTTAAAGTGATTTATTGACTTAAAAAGGTGCAGCAAACAAAGTATGGAAAAATGATAAACTGCTGAACTGTAACATAGAACCTGATGTGAGCAAAAGAAGAGGTATAAGGCAAACAAACAAACAAACGAACAAACGGTCAACAAAAAATACGGCTACCCACTCAGCCCTGACTCATCACTCGCCTGACAGATACACGCACACTTTTACCCCTGCTCGTGCACGCGCACCTGCCCCGTGAGCCCCGCCCCCTGCTGTGCAGCCACACACACACACATACACACACACACCCAGTGAACCCTGATCTGTCTCCTACACAAAGATTAGTATTTATAACGAGTAAAAGCATACAGCTTGGTATGGGTTAAAAATACCTAATAGTTAAGAGATTTCATGACACTTTGAAGTGGTGAAAGTTAAACTCATTCTAACAATATGCACAAGGCAGTTCTTCCCCACCTCTTGCTTTGGTTGGACGGTCCTCCATGCTGTATAATATCACTTGCATTCTATAATTTCTTTGTTTGTGCCTGTCTCTACTATCGATAATAAAACATGTGGTCTGTCTGCATTTTATTAAACAGTTTAGTTGATTCAAGATACTTGATAAAGGCTGATTTTATCCATCCATCCTTTTTCTATCCCTTAATCCATTAAATTAAATGATAATCAATACATAATTGCCAGATGTTTATAAAATGTATGAAGCCTATGCTTTCTCTTATAATTAAGTGTTTCCCAACGATCACAGTTATTTTTATTCAATCTTAGACTCTCTGAAGGACCGTCTAGTGCGGCAACATCTGATTTAATTATTATCTTTGTGTATTTTTTGTTTCTCCGTAGTGAACCCGGTTTACTTACAATATGCAAATAAAATCTCAAAACTAAGCAATAATTGTGATGTCTCATACAGTATGTCCTGTTCAAGTGTCAAGCCAGCACATTACTAATCACACATTAACTATATACATATATACGAGTTTGTTTTTCAGATTAGGCAGCTCCGTAATGGTATTTTATCTCAACAGTGGGCCTACTGGTTCAATCCTAATGGTTTTTGATAGTGCAATCCTAATTGTTTCTAATAGAGTTTTCTAGTGGCCCCAATTCCCATTAGACCTAATGGTTTCAATGGATTCCTACTGTTTTTTTTTCTTTTAATGGAATCCTACTGGAATTTTTAGTTTAACCTATAAACAAATTGGAATTTATTTTTTGGGAATTCCCTTCATTTGAATGGGTGCCGTCAAAGTGAATTCCGGGAGTCCTTATAGTCCTTACCATATTACGCATGTGCCCCAACTTAATCTCTTACTGGGACATTTCTCAACTATCTATTTCTGTTTATTTTTGTCAAACAATAATATCCAAAAGAGTTTAATTTGATATTACTAACACTTTATATATTTGCCTTTAAAAAACAAACCCGCTCACACTTTTATTCAAAATAATCCATGGCCGTAATCCAAAAATATAAAGTCATCTAAAAGTGCAGCAAAATACCATGGAAAATACAGGAATTATTGCTGTGCATCTTTTTGCAGCGTTCAGCACAGCACTACCCCCCTCTTGTGGATGACTTAAAAAATACAATCAATTCACTTTAAGTTTCTGTTTCTATTCACAAGTTGACATGTAAGTATGGAAGCCGCAATCCTCAAGCACATTCTGAACAGCCAGGGCTCCGTGAACAGAGAGGAGCTGGAGTGGAACCTGGACGCCTCTCTGATCGCACACATCATCGCTTCTAACGAGCAGTTCGTGAATTGTTCTGCCCGGGGCACTGAGAGGGTGGTGGTCCGCAGCGGAGTGAGACTGTGCCAGGATAAAATGTGCTCAGGCTGCAGGGGGCTGCATGTGTGCAAGAAGCTGCTGTTGACGGGAGACTGCCTCTTCCAACACACAAGGTACCACTAGTATATCACTATATCACTAACAAACTATACAGATACCATAGGAAACACGCACACGCACACGCAAGATTTGTTAATTAAAGGAAAATATATAAAGTGTTAGTAATATCAAATTAAACTCTTTTGGATACGTGAATGTACCAGGAGGGTAGAGAGAGTTTGGGAACTCAGCCCAAACATAGCTTGTCTTAGTGTGTGTGTGTGTGTGTGTGTGTGTGTGTGTGTGTGTGTGTGTGTGTGTGTGTGTGTGTGTGTGTGTGTGCATGCGTGCGTGCGTGCGTGCGTGCGTGTGTGTATTTTCAGGAGAGGTTGCCATTTCTCCCATGATCTCCAGTCTGAGGACAACATGGAGCTTCTAAGTGAGTTTGGTCTACAGACTCTGTGCAGATCTGAGCTGAGTTTGCTGCTACTACAGAGCAACAATACACTGCTTCCACAGGTAAGAAACACACACACACACACACACACACACAGGGTTGAACCGAAAAGTCAACGTTAGTGTCATTTGCAACTTGCTGACAAGTTTAGACGGGGGTGTGGAATAGGGACGGGCCTGACATGACTCATGATGGCATTGAGTCATGAAGGGACCAAAGAAAACTACTGGTCACGTTTGCAGCCTGGGCCTTAGCTTCTTCACTGCAGGTGAATTAATTATGTATTGTTCCACGGGTTCTTTATATCCAGAAGAAATGTTCACATTCAAAAGAGCACCACTAATAAACACTAATAACTCCACTCCTTGAGGGTGCCCCCAAGTGGATATGTAAAGCAGTACACCTGAGCAAGTCCTCCCATACCATAAAATGAATCAAGCAATTACACATATAATTAGACTCAATTATTGGACAATGTTAAACAACTAAAATGGGGCAGAACAACTAGATAAAAGTATGCACACAAATGCTAAATGTGAGATGATCAATACATTTTATGTCATGTATTACCTGCTTATCATGTCTTCTTCAGATCTGTCATGATTTCAACAACCGTGTGAGTTGCCAGGAGAACTGCCCACGTCTGCACATGTGTGAGCGTTACCTCCACCAGGACTGCAGCTGCCCCAAGAACCACAACTTCTGCGCCCCTCAGCCGCTCAGACTGCTGCAGGAAAAGCACATCCCTGAGCATCTCTTCCACCTGCTGAGATCTGTGTACGCAAACAAAGAGGCTCTGAGACTCGCCGACAAAGCAAACAGGAGCAGGGATGGCCACGCAGCTCCCACACAAGATGGGAACAGTGATTAGAAAAGTGGTCACCCACTCATTTTAGATCACAATAAATAAACAGTGTCATAAAGTCCATGAGACTAGTTCCTCGCGCTAAAACAATTGGTTCTAAAACACTATAGTTTGAAGGAATCTTTGGCCCCTGTCCCCTCTTTATATCAGCTTTTTATTTTATACACACACACATACACATACACACACATACATACACACACACACACATACATACATACACACACACACACATACACAATTTGAAGTCAGCATGTCTAAATTGTACACTGTAAAAAGAAATCCATACATTTTATGGCAAAATGTTGACAACTTTTGTTACCAGAACATTTATGCAAAAAATACGGCCGCACTGTAAAACAAATTATGGAATATATATGAGATATAATTTAACACAACCATCTTTTTGACATTTTGATTAAACTCATTAGACCAAATGGATTATAGGCCATCTTATTTATTATCACCAACCATGATCGAGAAAGCTATGCCAAAGAGGGAGTATTTAATATACCTACTTTAAATGTTTGAATAAAGAAACGTTTGTCACCCCTCTCTGATTTGGGAAGTGTTAGAGAGTACTAGCAAAGCCAAATTTGAACCTGTCACCTGTATGCCCAAAGTCCAATGTTCTACCAACTGGTCAACTAGTAGCCAATCCCACCTGGTATTTCAAATTGTTTTTTCAGTCATGTTTAAATTATGATTGTCCTTGGGCAATATACTTAACCCCACTTTGCCCAAAGCCCCCACTGAAAAAAGAAAGAAAATGGATGGATGGATGGGTTTAAATTATGTGAAAGCACAATACATTTTCAATTCAAAAGATTAATTATCAAGTCTCATCACAATCAATATGATTTTCTCTCAAGTTTCAACGTTCATTAAACATAAACATTGAAGAAAATTACATTTTACAATATGTTAATGTCACTTAATTAAATTAATTTGATACAAGTCATAGTTTTTTTCTGTTATTTTTTTTACTTTGATTTGATGTTTTTATGAGTAAATTTGATCATAATCACATATTATTAAAGTGATTAAAAGGGGGGCACGGTGGCTGGATAGCACTTGCGCTTCCCAGCAAGAAGATTCTGGGTTCAAATTCCGGTCGGAGCAGGGCCTTTCTGAGTAAAGTTTGCATGTTCTCCCTGTGTCTGCGTAGGTTTCCTCCGGGGACTCCGGTTTCCCCTTAAACCAAAAACATGTACAATAGTTTAGGGTGAAAGAGTGTGTGTTTGTGAGTGCGAATTTGGGACAACAGATCATTTGTGTGTTCATTAACATGCACTGTCTCAACTAAAAAGATAAATAAAAATATGTTGTATCATGGATTACAATAATTTCATTGTTATCTTAACATCAGATTGTTGTTTTCATACTAACAATAAAGGTGCAGTAAGCAGTTACTTACTGCAATTACTTAAGTAACAAATCAAACGTGAATTTAGCATTTTCTGTTCAACCTTTTAGGATTTCCAATAACTCAGGTGCGTACACTCGCAAGAAACAGGAAGAGGGTGAAGGGAACGAATCCCATTGGTTTATTTTTATTGGTCCGCTCCTAAATATTTTTAATTAATTTTTGGAGACTATACGAATCTGGCTAATTCCATTACTGTTTAAAATACGGAATTGTCCTGTGATTTAGTTAAACTACGTGTGTTCTGTATTGAATCGATAAGGGACGTATTTTCGCCTTAAATGCATCACACGCACGACACACACACTGGCTGTATATGTTTTCTTGTCTTGTTTCCCCTTCCGTTATCGCATTATCTTACATTTTTTCATCAATATTTTATTATCTTCGTCACAAGCTGTAAAGGGCTGATTCTGTATAAGGCAGAAAGCACATACAAGCATCTTAAGCACATAAACAAGGCCAAAATATCAAATATTTAACAGAACGCTCAACAATATGACAACTGAGATCCAGGACGAACCCCAACAGATGTAAGGTCTCCCTCTTGTGGATACAACATGTACTACACCATGTTGTCGTTTTAAGTAAGTTTCGTTTTCCTTTCGTCAGAACTGATTCTAAAACTGCTCTCACGCAGATCAGTACGGGACTGGGGCCGGTCACCCCTCACCAGGCCTGTGGGTCAAACGCAGACATGGAGACCGAGATTCTGAAACTTATTCTGAAGAGCCATGGATCTATGAACACAGATGAACTTCTCTACAACTTGTGCGAGCCCTCGTTTCTCGCAGAGCTCGTCAATCAGAAGGAGACGTTCGCGTCGTGTGTGTTTAACGGCCAGCCTAAAGTGGTGGTCAGGAGCAGGCTGAAGCTGTGTGGGACCGTAGACTGCCCCGGCTGTGGACGTCTGCACCTGTGCCTGCGCTTCCTCCTGTGCGGCCGCTGCCCTTTCACACAGCGCGGGTAAGGCCCATACTGTAGGCCACTGTCACAGGGACGGACAGGCACATGCTGCAGGTCACACTGGCCCCCTACCACCACACCTTTAAGAATACAGTTGATCCTTACTTTTGTGTGTGTGTGTGTGTGTGTGTGTGTGTGTGTGCCTACTGTCTGTCTGTGTGTCTATAACTGACTACCTGTAGGTGTGTGTGTGTGTGTGTGTGTGCTTATGACTTTCTGTCAGTGGGTCTATAACTGACTGCCTGTAGGTGTGTGTGTGCGCGTGTGCCTATGACTGTCTGTCTGTGTGTGTGTGTGTGTGTGTGTATGTGTGTGTTTATGACTGTGTGTCTATGACTGACTCTGTTGGTCAGTTTGCGTGTGTGTGTCCATGACTGTCTCTGTGTATGTGTCTGTCTGGGTTTGTTTGTGTCATAATTTCAGTCATGTTTTAGTTGTTAAAATAGGTTTAAATGTAGAGTTATGTTATTTTTACTATTTAAATATGTTTTGAGTGATGTATGGTTATAATTAAAATCAAGAAAAGCTCTCGCAGAAAGAAGGGGCAGGTCCATTCCGATAAAAACTCAGTTATCTGTCAATGTTTTTTTTTTTTTTTTTTTCAAAGTATGAAAACCCTTGGAGTTAGGCGGTGTAATTAATATTACAGTATAATTACTGTCACATCAATTTAGATCGAGTTTCCCCCCCTCAAGTATATGTATGCAGTTCTTGAATCAGAAACAACTGGAGGATATTTGTGTGTGTTGTCAGAGGATGCCATTTCTCCCATGACCTCCAGTCGGAGTACAACATGAAGCTGCTGAGTGAGTCTGGTCTTCAGACTCTGAGCAGATCTGAGCTGAGTCTGCTGCTACTACAGAGCCACAACATGCTGCTTCCACAGGTAAGAAACACAAGCGCACTCACACATGCACACACACACAGGTTTATTAAGGTTATAGACTGTGTACCATGGGCAACACTATGAAGCCTGTGGGGAAGCTGGCCCGAGTGTCAAAGTGAGACAGCAGAAGTCACAATACAAAATGGCTGAGACACACCCTCTAATATAGATATGAAATGCATTTATAAAATGTGGCATTAAGGGACAAAGCAACCTGCAAAAAGGCCAAGGTCTGATATTTCTCTGTACAGACCGAGCAAGCAAGGTTAATAAATGTTTTATTATATGACTCTCGTCTGTGTCTTTACCAATGCTTTTGAGATATTTGTGAAGTATGTTCATGTCCGACTTGGTTTTGTGTGATACGCGCTGCGGACAGATTGTCATGGTAACGGTCCGAGATGGGAAAATATCAGACCGGTAATCAGCCAATCAGAGCGCGCGTCCAAGTCATATAATAATTTATAATAAAATTTTATTTTCTGTTTGTAAACCCAAATATGATCAGAACTGACCGATCACCCTCCTGTCCATAAAAAAGGACTCTGATTGGTCTGCTCTTTGGTTGTTTGGTTGTTTCTACCTACTAATCTCTAATTGGCTTTTTTACACAACCGTTTTAACTCTATACACTCTGATGAGTCTCCGCCAGTGACGTGCGGTGAGGTTGGTGATTGGTGAGGCACTGACTTCAGCCCAATCAGATAAACATATATATCATATAAGTCAACAGGACCTACAGAGTGGCTTATTCACAATTTGTTTGGCTACAGCAGAATATGTTCCATGTCCGCATTGTTTGCTCATACAAAACACAAAAGTTGGTAAAAAGCACATTTAAAAGTGTGTTATGGTCTTACCTTATAAATCACCTGCACAGACCACTTCAGTTCAGACCAGTTCCATGTTTAAGTCCAGATAATAGTTTGAGCTTAGATATGTAATCCGCCATTTGGAACTAAGTCCAAAGAGTTTTAAACAGTAAAACAAAACGGGTGTCTCCTCCATAAACTCCTCTCGTGTTTTCGCTAGCTGCCGGCAGCGGACTCTCGGGTGCATCCAATTTCTGAAATCAACCTTACCCTTCACCTCTCTTCCTTATCATTCCTATCGTCATTGGAAGCATAACCATACCCTAAGTGGATTTTAAATCATCTTAAAATGTGTTACACGTATTTTAGCCAAACCTGTAGCTACCCTTAGCAGAGGAAGAACAAGAAAGGAGCTTTCAGATGAAATTGGATGTAGCCAAATTCTGGGCTCACATGCGCCCACTACCCTGAGGCTGGCCTCAGGTGGTGACATTACAAGCCGTGGTTTGAGCGCAATTAAGACCTATATTTGTTGTCAAAAACACAATTTATGACTCATCCTCTCAAAGGTTGACATGTTGATTGTAAAGGAAGTATGTTTGAACTTTGTAAACCGCGTAAACAAAGAAAACAGTTGATAGCAGCGCACGGGCCTCTCACACAGTGAGCTATGGGCTTTTACGTCTCCTGAGTGAGGCTCGCCTCACAGTGCGCCGCTCTGTCAAATATAAGAAAATGTTACAAAAATTTGCAATTTCAAGGTAAAAATGAATGAAATAAGGCAAAGTTACATTGAAAAAATACAATACCACAAATCACCTGATATAGTGACAAAGTATTATTGTTTCCGTTTTATTCTTTTTTCTTTCCATAATCTTAGGTGAGGCCGGGCCTCACCTGCCTCATCTGACCGCACGTGACTGGTCTCCGCGGTTATTTCACACCTGTATGAGACACATGTTGAGGAATGAGCAGTGATCAGAGGCTCACACAGAACAGTGCATGCAGGACGATGAGTTCCGGGTAGAACACGGAGCGGAAATGCCCCATAGAATCATGGCGATGGGATGGGAGCGTGGTGTTGCTCCCCCTGTCATATGCTATTCTATACCTTGTGTGTCAAGAAAGGCGCCTAAGAAATAAAATGTATTATTATTATTATATATATATATATTTTTTTCTAGTTTTCCTGGGGTTTGTTAAATCTTTATCGTAAGAACGATTATGTAAAATATATGTTTTTAAAGGTAATGATTGCATTATCTGTATAAAAATATGTCATATACTGTGATTATGTGATACTATGTGCGATACTTAGAAGTAGTTGACACAGGCAAATAAACTTGATCAATGACCACCATTACTGTTTAACATTTAGTATCAATGTTAGATCACAAATACAGGGCCATAGAGAAACAGCAAACGGCAAACCAGTTGTGGCAAACTTGTTTTCTTCCCAGATGTGCCATCAATACAACAACAGCGGCAGTTGCCAGGACGACTGCAAAAGTCTGCACATGTGTAAGCAGTACCTCCACCAGGACTGTAGCTGCCCCAAGAACCACGACTTCTGCGCCCCTCAGCCGCTCAAACTGCTGCAGGAAAAGCACATCCCTGAGCATCTCTTCCACCGGCTCAAATCTGTGTACGCAAACAAGGAGGCTCTGAGACTCGCCGACAAAGCAAACAGGAGCAGGGACAACAATGCAGACGGAGATCGCAGCGCAGACTCGAGCAGCATTGGTGCAAAACAAAGCCGCAGTCGTGGGAGTAGAGGCAGAGGGAGAGGAAGGGGTAGTAAGGGCCAAAGAGGTCGGCAAACGGCTAGTGGTTCTGACGGAGTTACTTCCAAATCTGAGGAGAGCGGAAGGGGTAAAATTGGAAGCAATCCTGGAAATCGCGGAGGTAGACCTGGTAGAAGCGACTTAACAGGAGAAGATGATATGGAAGAGCCTAGTGTTGGGGAAGCATTAGTATGTGGCGTTGAAACGGAGTCCACTGGCGATAATGCACAAGATGAGACGGTTGCAAGTGGCGCCAAGAGCTCGAGTACTGCTGACCCCTCGGACCATCCTTCTGTCAAAAATGTGGAAGCAAAAAGCAGTGGACCCCCAACAAGGCAAAGAGGTAAAATGTTGGGGATGTTCTGTGCTGTGTGTGGTGGGCCTTTTTGAAGTGATGTTATGTTTTTTGATATTGTCACAAATTGCCATATTTCTCTCAAATATTGTGATTGGGATGAGATTGTTTATAGCTTGAAGTTTAAAAAGTCTAATATTGGAAAGTAAATGTGTAAAAATATATTTAAAAAAAATCTTACATCATGCACAATTCCACACATTTCAGAAAATTACCTGTAAACTAACCTCCATCCATCCATCCATTTTCTTCCCCTTAATCCATTTCTGGGTGGCAGTCAACGCTGCACCCAGTACACATAACAGCAGCCCCTCACTAAGTCAGATCTGAGATGTGCACAGTTTATATAAATTATGAAGATGACAAGATATGGAATTAGAAAATCTTGCTCATTCCAAGATTCCTGGTGATGGAAATTAATGAAGGGAAAAAGCGTTTTGCACGTGGCTGACTAGTAAAATAAATACTATGACAATACAACAAAATGCAATACATGAGTTACAAAAAGTATAGCACACATACTAGGGGGCAAAGCTTAATCAAAAAGAAGCATGTTTATGAATGCCATAGACAAATCCTGTCAGTCTTTGCGATTTGCTCATTTTGACCACAAAAATGGTGATTCTAGTTTAATTGTGAAGCCCTAATGTGACATATTTTATATTATTACGCACATTTCAATGCAAAGGGATTTTAATAATGGAAGTCTGTGGACTCTTTTGAAAGTATGAATAATTTTCAAGAGTCATAGCCAGACAATATGGTTTCTTTAAAAATACATTTAAATGGATGGATTTATGGTGTAACTTGTATATTTCCTATTACAGATAAAACTGAGATCTGCATGTTCTTCATCAAGGGCCACTGTATACATGAAGGTAATATTCTACTTTTATAGATTTTATTTAGTTTGGTTCATGACAAAATACTAGAGCAAAATTGCAACAATACTGCAACGCTGAGAGATGGATTGGTGAAGTCATGCTCTACAGTTTTATTTATTGATCATTTTTAACCAGGGAAGTCTCCCTGTGATTTCAGTTCTGGGCATGAAAGTATGGAGGACCAAAAATGACTATAGTATAAATAAATAAATAAATAAATACAGGAATATATTAATAAATACATTCATTTTGGACAATAAAAACTAAATATTTACATTGATATGCTAAATATTACTCTGAAATCAAATAAATATACTTTTATTTAGGTTATTTATCAATATCTACATTTTTTCCTTTATTTATTTATCTATTTATTGCATATATTTATTTATGTATTTCTACATTTCTTCATTTATTTATTTATGTATTTCTACATTTCTTCATTTATTTATTTATGTATTTCTACATTTCTTCATTTATTTATTTATGTATTTCTACATTTCTTCATTTATTTATTTATGTATTTCTACATTTCTTCATTTATTTATTTATGTATTTCTACATTTCTTCATTTATTTATTTATGTATTTCTGTGTCGCTACATTTCTTCATTTATTTATTTGTGTATTTCTACATTTCTTCATTTATTTATTTATGTATTTTTGTGTTCCTGTATGCTAATTAGGTGGGCGGTGCTGAACTCAATCTAGAACAGGATTGGTTAGGATTGCGTGAACTCTGGTCTCGATCATTACTGCCTCACATTACGGTACTCTGTTAGCTAGCTAGAGATCCTCCGTGCACTTTTGTGTGGTATGATGGCAGTTTCGAATGTAAGTTTTTTAGGAGCCATTGCTCATCAATTAAGAGCATTAGCAAATTATGTTAATGATGTTGAGCATAATGCACCTGAGGACTATCTACTCTTTCGGCTGGAAAGACTATTAGATGTTTTAGTTCATCACAGTGCTGACCCAGAGGTAGACTTTGATGCAACTGTGCTGGACGCTCTTCAACAAGCTATACAGCAGCTTCACATCCTCTCACAAACCGAGAAGGCTAACTTTGCTTCTGTCTGGTTGCCCTGGCTGACCTACTGCCCACCAATCCTGCTATTGATTGAGTTCAGCACCGCCCGCCTAATTAGCATACGGCAACACAAAAATACATAAATAAATAAATGAAGAAATGTAGAAATACATAAATAGATAAATGGAGAAATGTAGCGACACAGAAATACATAAATAAATAAATGAAGAAATGTAGAAATACATAAATAAATATATGCAATAAATGGATACATAAATAAAGGAAAAAATGTAGATATTGATAAATAACCTAAATAAAAGTATATTTATTTGATTTCATAGTAATATTTAACATATCAATGTAAATATTTAGTTTTTATTGTCCAAAATGAATGTATTTATTAATATATTCCTGTATTTATTTATTTATTTATTTATTTATTTATACTTTAGTCATTTTTGGTCCTCCATATGAAAGTGCTCCAGTGGAAAATAGATGGTTCGAGAGCTTTTGGATTGTAATTGTCAAAATGCAAAGGAGTTGTTTGAGTCACCTGATGTTACAGTTGTTTTTCATCCATGTATGTTTCGTGAATGCCACAGATCGCTGTTTCAAATCTCATGACAAGATGCCGTACCGATGGGAGATCAAGCAGGACGGGCAGTGGACTCACATGGCTGAAAACGAGAGCATTGAGAGAGACTATTGTGTTCCTGACAACACCTACAGGTAGCTTTTGTAACCCTTTCCTTTTGTATTTTTTTGCTTTATCAACTGATCTCTGATCCCATTTACTTAATCTTCAACCAGCAATTTTTTGGTTCAATCTCTACCTTTCATGATGTATCCTGATTCAAATGCCTAGTCTTTTATTGATGGTGAATTAAAGTAGATTTAGGATTATATATATATCCCCTGGTGGGCCGCGAGGGTACTGCAGGGGGGCCGCGGGAGGTCATAAAAAATATAATAAAAAAATATAATGATTTGATGTTAAATTAATGTTTTGTTTGTAATATTAAAATATTTGTGTTCATTATTTGACTTGAATAATCCACTTTAATCATTTTTGTATTACAATGTTTGTAGCAGAGGCTATTTCCCCAAAATAAAATAACCAGAAGAGCCTATTCTTAATGTTGTCTTCTTGGTTATTATTTTGGGGGGGCCACGCAGACCCGTCAGATTTTTAAGGGGGCCTCGGTGTTACTGAGTTTGGGAATGGCTCCATCTATTTGATAGATATATGGCTCTATTTGATAGAATCATATATTTATCTAAGTGTTTATACAGGCTTCTATCATATATTTGTGTATATAAAAGGGTTCGATCATATATTAAAGGTATAACTGTTCAGTGTCAATTGTTGCATAATTTCATACATTTCATCTGAAAGTCAAATGTCCCTAACTTTTGTATGTACAACAACATTGTGTGTTTTGCAAAAATACCTATCATACATCATAGAATCATATATCAGAATATTATATTACTGTTAAACCCACTATGAATAATAATAGACGCCAAACCATGTATATTGTATTATAGCTACATGTGTGATGTTTACAGTAAAGAAAAAAGTGTGAAAATCGGTAAAGTATTCAGTGAGTTATGATCGATTAAATGCGCTGAGTCGTCACTGCGCCTGCTAAACAGATTACTCTGAGAGGAGGGAACGACCGGTCCAAGATGGCGGCGCTACGGATCGTCGGCGCCAATCATGGATCTATTATATTAACTGGATAGGGTATTACAGCTTGTAGCTGAATAACCCACGTGCTCAGGGGATTCTCGCAGTACTGCAGACTGAACCAGACTAAATTCACGAGGGCTACCCAGAAATTTTCCCCATAGGACTCAATACATATTAAAACAGCTCAACCTCAGCTGACAGAGAACCTACAGCTTTAATAAAGGTCGGATTTTGTGGGGATTTTAGTGTCCCTTGTCATCCGGAACTTTTTTAGGCCCGGGCCCCCGAACGGGGAAAGGGCCTATTGTTTTTGCTCGAGAGATGTCAAATTCTGCACTTTGAGCCTTAATTTCACCCCCTGAACATGCATGAAAAGTTGTAAAATTTTGCCCAAACATCACACCTGGTGAAAAATTTGATATTTGGGTGTTTATTTTTATGGGACTCAAAAAATGCCAGAACAGCGCCACCTACAACAGCCAATGGGAGTTTCAGAGGTCAAGTTTGTCGTAGAGCCATGAAATTTGGTACACATGTTCCTCGAGTCAAGATACGACCGAAATGTTACCATGGCTCCGCCCTCTGACAAACAGGAGGCCCATAAAATTTCACTGCAAAATGGAAAAAAGATCCGCAATCATTTTCATACATGTCGGTTGGAAAGCGACTCCTCCTCGGGCGTTTTACCGATTGGCCTCCATATCACTCCACATTGTCTAAACACATGTACCATCAAAATGACCTCAGGGATTTTTGATCAGTGAAACGCTGTTTGAGCAGCGGAGCGGCAAAATGTGAGTGTTTATTGGCCGTTTTTCACAACATTCTATTTGCTCCCGTTTACACATATAAATTCTGATTTGCACAAAACTTGAATCCATGGTTCAACTCTAGGGTCTAGGTCAATTAAAAGTGAAATAATTGAACTCGGCTTATTAACGCCCCCTACAGACTATTTCAGAGTTTTTAGTATGAAAAACTCTGAAAACTTTGACTCCATCTGTAGGGGCACTATAGAGCCAAGTTCTTTTATTTCACTTTCAATTGACCTAGACCCTAGAGTTAAACAATGTATTAAAGTTTTGTGCCAATCAGACTTTGTATGTGCAAACGGGAGCAAATTTAATATTGTCCAAAACGGCCAAAAAAAAGGTCACATTTTGCAGCTCCCTGTTCAAACAACGTTTCACTGATGAAAAATCGCCGAAGTCATTTTCAAGGTACATGTGTTGAGATGATCTGGAGCGATTTTGAGGCGAATCGGTGTAACGGCCGAGGAGGAGTCGCTTTCCAACCGACATGTATGAAAATGATTGCTGTTCATTTTTCCATTTTGCAGTGAAATTTATGGGCTTTCTGTATGTCAGAGGGCGGGGCCATAATAACATTATTTTCATGTCTTGACTAGAGGAACATGTGTACCGAATTTCATGGCTCTACGAAAAACTTGACCTCCGAAAAATCCCATGGGGGTATTATTAGGCCCGAGCCCCGAACGGGGAAAGGGCCTATTGTTTTTGCTCGAGAGATGTCAAATTCTGCACTTTGAGCCTTAATTTCACCCCTGAACATGCATGAAAAGTTGTAAAATTTTGCCCAAACATCAGACCTGGTGAAAAATTTGATATTTGGGTGTTTTATTTTTATGGGACTCAAAAAATGCCAGAACAGCGCCACCTACAACAGCCAATGGGAGTTTCAGAGGTCAAGTTTGTCGTAGAGCCATGAAATTTGGTACACATGTTCCTCGAGTCAAGATACGACCGAAATGTTACCATGGCTCCGCCCTCTGACAAACAGGAGGCCCATAAATTTCACTGCAAAATGGAAAAAATGATCCGCAATCATTTTCATACATGTCGGTTGGAAAGCGACTCCTCCTCGGCCGTTTCACCGATTGGCATCAAAATTGTTCCAAATCATCTCAACACATGTACCTTCAAAATGACTTCAGGGAATTTTGATCAGGGAAAAACGTTGTTTGAGCAGCGGAGCGGCAAAAAGTGACCTTTTTTTGACAGTTTTTTTACAACATCAAATTTGCTGCCGTTTTCACAAACAAAGTCTAATTTGCACAAAACTTTAATACATCGTTCATCTCTAGGGTCTAGGCTATTTGAAAGTGAAAAAAATCAACTTGGCTCATTAGCGCCCCCTACAGATGGGGTCAAAGTTTTTAGTATGGGAGCATTTCGAGGTCAAGTTTGCTGTATAGGCATGAAATTCGGTACACATGTTCCTCATCTCAAGACATGAAATAAAAGTTATTATGGCCCCGCCCCCTGACAAACAGGAAGCCCATAAATTTCACTTCAAAATGGACAAATGAAAAATGATCCTTTTCACACGTGTCGGTTGGAAAGCGACTCCTCCTTGGCCGTTTCACCGATTTGCCTCAAAATCGCTCCACATCGTCTTAAACACATGTACCATCATTGTGATTTATCAGACTTTTGATCAGTAAAATGTTGTTTGAGCAGCGGAGCGCCAAAAAGTGGCATATTTTTTTTTCAGTTTTTGACAATAGAAAAATTGCTTCCGTTTGCACAAACAAAGTCTGATTTGCACAAAACTTGAATCCATGGTTCAACTCTTGGGTCTAGGTAATTTGAAAGTTTAAATTTTGAAATTGGCTCTATAGCGCCACCTACAACAGCCAATTTAAAAATGCCTCTGGGATGGGTTCGAGGTCAAAATTGTCGTAGAACCATGTAATTTGGTACACATGTTCCTCAAGTCAAGACATGGAAAAAATGTTATTATGGCTAATCCCTCTGACAAACAGGAAGCTCATAAATTTCATTGCAAAATGGAAAAATGAAAACCAATCATTTTCATACATGTCGCTTGGAAAGCAACTCCTCCTCGGCCGTTTCACCGATTGGCCTCAAAATTGCTCCAAATTATCTCAACACATGTACCTTCAAAATGACTTCAGGGATTTTTGATCAGTGAAATGTTGTTTGAGCAGCGGAGCGGCAAAATGTGAGGGTTTTTTTGGCCGTTTTTGACAACATACATTTTTTCCCCGTTTGCACAAACAAAGACTGATTTGCATTAAACTTGAATCCATTGTTCAACTCCAGGGTTTAGGTCAGGTGAAAGCGAAATATTTGAAATTGGCCCATTAGCGCCCCCTAAAGACTGAGTCAAAGTTTACATGGGGAGCCAAACCAGCTCTACTTATCATATTCATTACAATTTGACTAACAATCTTCTATGGCTACGGGAACAAATCATCACACAACGGCGCCACCTCCTTTGAGCGGTGCTGCGTGGTACGGTGTGGTGCGGCGTAGTGCGGGGCGTTGTGGAGCGGCGCATTGCGGCTTGGTGCGGGGCGGCGTGAGGCTGGACAGCGTGGTGCAGGAGGGCGTGGTGCGGGGTGGCTTGGTGCGGGGTGGCTTGGAATGGGGTGTGTGCGCGCAGTGCGGGGAGTCGCGCGGTGCGGCGAGGGCCGTTCGACGCCGCTTGCGGCTTTAATTTCTTCTTAAATCCTTCGCTTTTGTTTAAATCCACACTTTAGTGCCACAAACTCTGCTCGTCTGGCTCTCGCTCTAACTCCCGCTCTGATTGGTCAGAGCGCGGCCCGAGCCCCTCTGTGCACATGCGTGAGACCCACACACGCGTGTTTGGCGCAACGCATTATGGGAGATCATCCACTGCGCAGAACCGGGAGGACCAGACGATGCCCAAATACAGGCGAGTTTCCCATAGATCTTTGTGTTGTCAGAATTCGCTACGCAGCAGCCCAGTGTGAGCCTCCTTTAGCACTGTGCGAGAAAAAGACGAGCAGTCCACACAGATTCATTTCACACAAGCAAGGTGCCATGGTTTATTTAGGGCGGGGGGTTAAATAAGGTCCGGCCGTGACGTCATCAATCAATAAACAAATAATGCATTCAGAGCATAACAGAAAATACAATACAATTACACCCCCACTTGCTCTCAAATGTGTTAGCTTCCTTCACAACAGGAAATACGGAAACAAAAATACACACTGTCCACACTTTTAACCAAACAAAATGTTAGAGAACTTA